GAGAACCGCCTCGACACCAAGGGCTCTAAGTGCGAGTTTTTTAAGCAGGAGTTGGAGTTTTTGGGGCACGTCATTTCCCGCGCGGCATTCAAATCGACCTGGCGGAAATCAAGACCATACAGGAGTGGAAGTCCCCGATTAATGTCCCAAAAATTCAGAGTTTTCTGGGGTTCGTGAATTATGTCCGGCGGTTTATCCCGAATATGGCAGGGATAACCGGCCCGCTGACCGACCTGCTGCACAAGGACAAGAATTTCGTGTGGGGGGAGGAGGCAGAGGCGGCTTTCCAGGAGCTCAAGAATTTTCTCGTTTCGCCTCATGTGCCACGCATCGCCGACCCATCGAAGCCGTTCGAAGTCGTAAACGACACCTCGGATTTCGCCATCGGAGCTGTGCTACTCCAAGATTTCGGGAACGGGCTGCAGCCGATCGCTTACGAATCACGCAAGCTGCAGGCAGCCGAGCGCAACTACCCGATTCACGACAAGGAGATGCTTGCCATAATCCATGCGTTCAAACTGTGGAGCTGCTATTTGGCGGGCGCCGACGTCACTGTTCGCACGGACCACAAGTCCCTACAGTACCTGCGAGCCCAGCCCAACCTCAACCCGCGACAAATACGGTGGCTGGACTACATCGAGAGCCATTTCACCTACCGCATCACGTACAAGAAGGGGGCAAATTACATCGCCGATGCCCTGACCAGACCGACAGTACAATCTGCTGCAGTACTCATCACTCATTCGAACCCACTACTTACCGGACTATTCACCCACGGCTACACTACGGACCCGTTCTTCACGATTGGGAGTCATGAGCAGGCCACAACGCAGAAAGGGGATTATTACCTGAAAGCCAGAACTGATCGGATTTGGGTCCCCGCTTACCGGCTGCTGCGTGAACTCCTTATCCAGGAGGTCCACGATTCGAACTTCTCCGGACACTTCGGGGTTGACAAACCCCAGAAATTACTGGCCTGACTCCTCTAACGACGTGCAGCGCTATGTGTCCTCATGCAGGGTGTGCCAAGCCATGAAATCGACACGTCAACGACCAGCTGGGCTGCTGCTGTTAGAGACTAAGGACTGAGTCTATGAAGAATAGGTGCCAGAAGATCTCAAAGTCATTGGCTTAGAATTCTAAACAGAAATGTCGACTTCACAAAAAACGCCGTCGACTCCACCAATTTCGGATATGTTGTAGCTCTAGTCTGTCGGTACAATTCCCAATTTGAATCGTATCAAATGATGGAGTATATCTCGAGTTATCAATTTCGGCGCACTAGGGGGTAAGCTGCCATAAGCTTAACTCAATTACAATTATCCTCACAAGTTCTCAAAGGATACACACAAGAGAGTTAGAGTAGGACTAAACCAGGTAGGAGGGGATGAGGAGGACGAGAGGGAAGGTCCCAAGGGAGTTCCCAACCAAGGAAACCCCATGCCACACAATTCCCCTCTCCATAGGCAACCCCACTTTCACATTTGTCACTTTCCCAACTCATGCCATCCACCTCACTCCCACTTGGCCACACTTGCCAACCTGGTTTGGCTTCTCCCAACCATATGACAGCATCTACAGTGATGGGTTCGAATTTCCCAACCCTCAAAAGTCTGTACCCCTTATGGAGCAAACCCCACAACTTCCCATAGTCGCCACAACCAAAGTACAGAAAGCATACGAACTCCAACGTTCGTAACTTTCTTGATCTTGCTCCGATCGCGACGATTCTTGGTTCGTCGGAAAGCTCTTGAGCAGAGAAATCACTTTAGATATCTGCTCAGGCCAAGTAACATTCGCACACACTTAAGAGATCCAAACCGTGCAAAACACAAATTCTTGCACACGCTCACACCACGCATGCAACGCACGAACACATGATGGGAGGCAGACAGACGTGAATGCATATGGTTGCATCACACAACAGCTGCAACCCCTCGAGCCACCCGAACGACCGTGGCAGCAAGTGACAATCGATTTCGTCACGGGGATGCCAGCTGGGCCGTCCGGCAACGACGCTGTTCTCGTCGTCGTCGATCGCTTCACGAAAATGGCGCACTTCGCCCCATGCCGAACAACATTCACAGCCGAAGAAACTGCGCGCCTCTTCATCTCAACGGTCGTGCGACTGCACGGCATCCCTTCGGCGATCATCAGCTACCGAGACCCGAAGTTTACGTCAAAATTCTGGAAGGAGACGTGGGCGCAGTACGGCACGAAGCTACAGTTCTCATCGGCGACCACCCACAGACAGACGGACAAACCGAGCGAACCAATCAGACCATAGAGCAGCTGATACGGACAAACTCCCCCGACCCTGCCCGCTGGGAGGATTCTCTCGCCTTGTTGGAGTTCGCCTTCAACAACGCACCGTCAAGCACGACTAATCACTCCCCGTTTCTCCTGAATTACGGGATGGATCCAATGGTTCCCACGGCCACTTCTATCGACAACCCAATCCCGAGGTCACAAACCTTTGTGACGGAACTTCAAAGCATCCGCGAAAAAGCCGCAGACGCAATTCGCAAGGCGAATATTACTTCCCGCAAATACACCGACCTTCTACGCCGGGAGCTCGTCTTGACCACTAGGCAACTAGTGTTAAATTGTAATGTGTTATATGTTGGTAGGCTGTAGTGGGGTAGCCAATATGGGGTACAACCCCAACTAGGGTTTCATATTTGTACCCAAACTTCTGCTAGTTCATTCATTCTTGCCTAGTTCAGTTGACATGGTATTCAGAGCAGGAGGTCCCTAGGACCTACCGATCGTTTTTTTTAGGGCCCACCACCGCTCGCATGCGGTTACCACGCTACCCCGTGCCCTAGCCTCATAGCGCCCTCGTGCGCCCTCGTTAGCGCCCTCGTGCGTCCTCGTTAGCGCCCTCGCGCGCCCTCGTTAGCGCCCTCGCGCGCCTCTCGTTAGCGCCCTCGCGCGCCCTCGCTAGCGCCCTCGCGCGCCCTCCTTCGCGCCCTCGTGCGCCTCTCGTTAGCGCCCTCGCGCGCCCCTCGCAGCGTCGCCCGCCCGCCGAGCCGCCCGCTCGCAGCGTCGCCCGCCTACCGCGCTGCCCGTTTCGCAGCCCGCCCGCCGCGTCGCCCGCTTGCAGCGTCGCCCGCCCGCCCGCTGCCCGCTTCGCAGCGTCGCCCGCTCGCCCGCTGCCCGCTTCGCGACCCGCCCGCCTCGCTGCCCGCTCGCCCGCTGCCCGCTTCGCAGCGTCGCCTGCCAGCCCGCTGCCCGCTTCGCAGCGTCGCCCGCTCGCTCGCTGCCCGCTCGCAGCGTCGCCCGCCCGCCCGCTGCCCGCGCGCAGCGTCGCCCGCCCGCTCGCTGCCCACTCGCAGCGTCGCCCGCTCGCTCGCTGCCCGCTCGCAGCGTCGCCCGCCCGCCTCGCTGCCCGCTTGCAGCGTCGCCCGCCCGCCCGCTGCCTGCTTCGCGGCCCGCCCGCTCGCTCGCTGCCCGCTCGCAGCGTCGCCCGCCCGCCCGCTGCCCGCTTCGCAGCGTCGCCCGCTCGCCGCGCTGCCCGCTCGCCGCGTCGCCCGCTCGCCCCGCTGCCCGCTTCGCAGCCCGCCCGCCGCACTTCCCGCCTGCAGCGCCGCCTGCCCACCGCGCTGCCCGCTTCGTAGCCCGACCCCTGCACTGCCCGCTCGCCGTGTCGCCCGCCCTCCGCGCTTCCCGCCGAGCTACCTACCTGCAGCGCTGTGGCAGCTTCCTTTGCTCTGTCGCTATGGCTTCCATCCGAGTGCTGTCGTTCGATGCTGAGGGCCGCCCTGTGAAGTTCGCCACTTGGCTGGATGACCTGCAGCTGTTCCTTCTGAGCGATAGCAAGGAGCATGTGTCGCTCTATGATTACGCGTCTGGTGCTGCACCTGCCCCTCCTGCCACAGCTGAGCTTAGTGTTCGTTCCCACTGGCAGACTCGTGACGCAGCTGCTCGCCTAGCCATTCGCAGTCACCTGCCGTTAGCTGAGCTCGAGCATTTTGGCGACTGCAAATCCGCTAAGGCCCTGTACGATGCTGTCGTTGCTCGCTACTCCTCGCCTGCCACAGCCGAGCTTAGCCGCCTCATGCTGCCGTACCTGTTCCCTGACCTGTCCACCTTTGCTACAGTCGCCGATCTTATCACCCACCTTCGCACTAGTGATGCCCGCCTTCGTGCCGCCCTTCCCACCGAGTTCTGCGCTAAGAACCCCCCTCCCCTGTACTGGACACTCCACTTCATAGTCACCCGTCTCCCTGACACCCTCAGCTCAGTTCGAGACCACTTCCTTGCTCGCTGTCCCACTGAGCTCACCGTTGCCCTCCTAGAGGAGCAGCTGCTAGCGGCCGAAAAGAGCATAGTAGCTGTCGGTGCTGCTCGTGGCGCTCCTCGCACCCCCATCTTTGAGGGGTGTTCTCCCTCTCCCCTCGCTCCCTCCTACACTACTGCTGCTGCTGTTGACTTCCTTGGTGCTGAGTCTGCTGGCGCTGCTTCTGCTCCTAGTGGGAGGCGCCGCACCGGCAAGGGCAAGGGGGGCAAGGGTGGCGGGGGTGGCGCTGGGGGGGGGGGGGCGGCGGTGGGGGAGGTGGGGGGGGAGGCGGTGCTGGAGGGAGCGGTGGCGGGAGTGCTGGGGGAGTGGGGTCGGCAGTGGAGGCGGGGGCGGCGGAGGGAGCGGTGGCGGTGGTGGCGGCGGCGGCGGTGGCGGCGGCGGCGGCGGTGGCGGCGGCGGTGGTGGCGGTCGGAGCGGAGGTAGTGGTGGTGGCGGAGGTCGGAGTGGAGGCACCGGCTCGGGCCAGAGCTCCCAGCAGCAGCAGCGTCCCCAGACGACCCAGCAGCTTCGTGAGTGGCTTGCTCAGCGTGGGACGTCGGGGGGCAGTGGCCGCTGTTCCTATGTCATTCGCACAGGTGACCGCAAGGGACAGACGTGTGGGAGGTTCCACACCCCGTACCGCTGCTTCTTCCGCCTTGACGACGCTTGGCGTGAGGAGATGGGCGAGGATGTTGAGCGCCCCCGCTGGGCTGAGCTCATGAGGGCTGGTGTTGATATCTTTGCTCTTGACTATGATGCTATTATTGCTGCCATGTATGCATTGACTGTTAGTGCCGAGGGAGACTGTTACTTGTGTGTGCCGCCTGACCCAGGTATAGAGCCTGCTGCCCTGGGTACTAGTGAGTCTGCTCTCTCTGGTATGGTGCCCCCGGTACTTGCTCCCTCCAGTGCTGTCCCGGCTGTTTGCGAGTCTGCTCTCTCAGGTACAGCACCCACAGAGACTGCTCTCTCAGGTACCGCACCGGCTGAGGCCTGTCACACCTTCACCCTTGACTCAGGTGCTTCCCGCTGTTTCTTTCGTGACAGTACTGAGCTCACACCGCTTCCTGCACCGGTTCCAGTCTCCTTGGCTGACCCCTCTGGGGGCCCAGTCCTTGCCCAGTCCACCACTGTGCTCCCTTGTCCGGCGGTTCCGTCTGGCTCGTTGTCGGGTTTCCACCTCCCCTCGTTCTCGACGAACCTGGTGAGCAACGCTGTCATCCAGGATCAGTGGGTTGACACCTTCACCCCAGGAGGACAGCGTGTGGCGATCTGCACGTGCTCCAGGACCGGCCGTCACCTGGCTACGTTTACCCGTCGGCCGGGGTCGAGTCTCTACACACTGACCACTGCGTCTCCTCAGGTCGCTGCTGTCGGTCAGGTGTCCGCGTCAGGTCTAGTGGCCCACGCCTGTGAGTGTCGTTCCCTGTCGCACCAGACCCTTCTCTGGCACCATCGCCTGGGTCACCCCTCCCTACCACGCCTCCGTGGCATGCACCGTCGCCACCTTGTGTCTGGTCTTCCCAGGTCCCTCCCTCCCCTCCCTGCCTCGCCTGCACCGCCTTGCCTTCCTTGCGTCGAGGGGCGGCAGCGCGCCGCTCCTCACTCCTCCTCGTTCCCCCCGACAGAGGCTCCTCTGCAGACCCTCCACCTGGACGTGTGGGGCCCAGCCCGCGTTCGTGGCCAGGGCGGTGAGCGGTATTTTTTGCTGGTTGTCGACGACTACTCGCGTTACACCATGGTCTTCCCCTTGCGCACCAAGGGTGAGGTCCCTGCTGTTCTGATCCCTTGGATCCGCGCAGTTCGTCTCCAGCTCCGCCGCCGTTTCCGGACGGATCTTCCTGTCCTGCGTCTGCACTCTGACAGAGGTGGTGAGTTTTCCTCCGACCTCTTGAGGGCCTTCTGTCAGGAGGAGGGCATCGAGCAGACCTTCACGCTTCCGGACTCCCCACAGCAGAATGGGGTTGCTGAGCGCCGCATTGGCCTGGTCATGGAGGTCGCTCGTACCTCCTTGGTCCACGCGGCGGCTCCCCATTTTCTGTGGCCGTTTGCTGTCCGGTACGCCGCGCATCAGCTCAACCTCTGGCCCCGTGTCTCCTTGCCGGAGACCTCGCCCACACTGCGTTGGACGGGGGAGGTTGGCGATGCGTCGCGCTTCCGGGTGTGGGGTGCTCGTGCCCTTGTCCGCGATACGTCCGCGGACAAGCTCTCCTCCCGCACACTTCCCTGTGTCTTCCTTGGCTTTGTCCCTGACGCGCCGGGCTGGCAGTTTTACCACCCCACCTCGCGCCGGGTCTTCGCCTCTCAGGACGTCACCTTTGACGAGTCGGTCCCTTTTTACCGTCTCTTCCCCTACCGCACTGCCCCCCTCCCTCCCCCGCCGCTTTTCCTTGCTCCTGGTCCCCCTCCGGTAGACCCCCTTCCCCCTCAGGGTCCTGCTCCTTCAGGTGTCTCTCAGGTAGACCCTCCTCCCGTCACTGAGCCTGTCGAGGTCACAGGTGACTCAGGTGCTGCTGCAGGTGGTGCTGCTGGGAGTGCTGAGCCTGGGGGTGCTGAGCCTGCGGGTGCTGGGCCTGGGAGTGCTGGGACTGCGGGTGCTGGAGCTGAGGGTACTGTGCCTGGGAGTTCGGCGCCTGGGGGTGCTGAGCCTGGGGGTGCTACGACTGGGGGTGCTGAGCCTGCGTGTACGGAGTCTGGGGGTGCCGAGCCTGGGGGTGCTGCTACTGAGCCTACGGAGCCTGGGGGTGCTGCGACTGGGGGTACTGGGGGTACTGAGCCTGGGGGTGCTGCTGCTGAGCCTACGGAGCCTCGGGTTGCTGCGTCTGGGGGTGCTCCGGTCCGGGTGCTGAGCAGTCTCTCACACCGCAGCAGCTTCGTGACTGGTACGTCCGGCGCTTTCGCCGTCCTAGTGGCTCGGCTGGAGCTGGGGGTACTGGAGCTGGCCGGACTGGTTGTTCTGGACGCACTACTGGGGTG